GTGGATAAATAAAACTCCCATTTTTAATATAAGGAAATGGAGGCACTGGAGGCTTAAGTTTGTCTGCTTATTTCCTTTGAATCAATCCCTAGAAATCGAATTGTTGGGCCAAAGGGTACCCACATTTAAAGTCTGGATTTACAGTCAGTCAGACTAACCTCCAGACACGTGGTAGCAATTCACACAAGACAGGTGCCTTTTCTCATACCTTTGTCAGCACTGTATATTATGACATTTAAAAAATTTTTGCCTGTCTGCTAGGTTAAAAAATACATTTGATCTTACCTAAAAGGCTAAGAAGCAATAGGTTAAAAAATAAAACTCACCTAATGGTCTTAATTACCCCCTTTTATAATTAATGCTACTAGACATCTCAGGATTATTATAAATATAATTTTTAAAAGAATTGTCTGTTTGAATCTTTGTCCCATTCAACATTTTTGATTTCTTTTTCTGATTAAAAAATCTCTTTAAATAATAGTTTTTACTGTATATATGTTGCAAATATTTTTCCAGTTGTCTTTGATTTCGTTTAACTTTGTTTATAGTGGTTTTTGCCATACATAATTTTAATTTTTAGGTATTCAAACCTACTAGTCTTTTTCCTTATGGTGTCTGGTCTCTGTGTTCTACTTAGAATCCTAAGATTATTAAAAACACTATTATTTCTATAACTTTACGGTGTTTAAATATTTACTCCATCTGTAGTTTCTTTTTGTGAATGTTGTGAAGTAGTTTTTCTTCCTCCAAATGGATAGTCAATTTTCCCAATACAATTTATTGAATCTGTTTATTTGATTTTACAGAAATGAAAGAAAAACCCAAAGCAGAAGAACCAGAAATACCAGCAATTATGAATGAGATTCATCCAGAAAATGATGTCTATAGTTATGTTTTGTTTTAACATTGCTCAACCATAAAGTTGTAGTCCAATGGAACATACAGCTTAATAGTTTATGCGTGGCTTTCTCAAAATGTTGTAAAACTTTCGACAATGCTCATTGATACTTACTATTTTTTCTATTTGTAGACCATATCTGAAATAACTAACATTTTTTAAGGCTCTACCACATAGATAATATTATGCTAGGGTGTGTGTGAGTGTGTATGTGTGTATATGTTGAGGGGAGGATAGTGGTGGGAAGAGACAAAGAAGGGGAGAGGACTGGATAGTGGAAAATCATGTAAGTCTTAAGAGCAGATAAATGACTAAGACTGAACACTTAGATTTTGGGGAAATGTAAGTGTTACATTAATTTTCTTGTAAATGCTGTCCAATTATTAATGTAACAGTAGCATCAAAATTTTTTTCAGGCTTTAGTTGGCTCTTTTGGTTAGTTTTAACAAATTTCCTTAAAAGATATTTTGGAGTGATGAATGTAGTTTACTTTTGTATTTGAATTTTGATTTTCTGTTTTTACTTTTTAAATTGTATTTGTGCAAAATGTACATTAAATCATTATTACATGCTTAACTGTGTGGATGGCATAATGTTAAGGACTGTGGGGTTAGAAGACCTATAAAACAACCCATGCAGGATTTAATTTAGTTTCATGGGGAAATAGAAAATAACTAAAAAAGAAAATGTTAAGTGTTAGTGCCATTTGAATGGTAGACACAAACAGAGAATGCTCACTTTTTGCTGGAATGACCTGAAAACATTACACAGGTATGGAGCCTTGAAAGATGAAAAGGATTTGTGTAGATGAGGATAGCAGCATTACTGTATGTGACACAGAGAAGGGTAACATCAAGACATGTTCAAGAGAATGGCAGGCAAACTATAGTTAATGTAGGCTCCATATAAAATAGTAGTAGGCTTGCATGAAAAAGCTTATGTTATTAAAGCATAGAGATTTTTGCATACCTTACCAAGAAGTATATCATTTGTTAAGTAATAGGGAATGAAGTAAGATTTTTGAACAATGGAGTGGCAATTTTAGTATTTTAGGAATATGATAAAGATGGTGATAATGGTGAAGATGAACTGAAAACAACAAGAGACAGGGGGCAGGAATAGAAACTATTCTGGATGGGAAGATGTCTGAAAATCTACCCTGGTATTTTTTGTGTTCAGTTTTCCTTCTGTTATTACAGAGGACTAAGGAGATTTTTGCAAATAAAGGTTCATTCAGCAAGAACACACTTGCACAAGGTTTCTGTATAGGCACTATGCTAGGCTACATCAAAGAACAAGGCAGAGACTTTTGCAAATAAAGGTTCATTCAGCAAGAACACACTTGCACAAGGTTTCTGTACAGGCACTGTAGTAGGCTACATCAAAGAACAAGGCAGAATTCCAGTCCCTCAGGTATTTATGGCATAATGAACATGAGAGAGCAGTGGTTCTCTCAACCCTTCTGGTACATTAGACTCACTTGGGAAAGTTTCAAAAATACATATATGTCTAGACTTATCCCCCAGGGATTATGATTCCCCCATCTGAGTGATGTACAGGCATATTTATTGTTTGTTTTATTTAAATAATAGTTTTTGGAGAAATAATTTTAGAATTACAGAAAAGTTGTCAAGATAGTACAAAAGTTACTATATACCTTTCACCCAGTTTACCCCAATATTAACATCTTATATAACCATGGTCCATTTGTCAAAACTAAGAAATTAAATAGTTACGCTACCATTAACTAGAGACACTATTCTGTTTTCATGAGTTTTTCCACTAATGTCCTTTTTCTGCTTTAGGATCCAATCCAGGATATAGCATTGCATTTAGGATGTTTTTATTTTAAAAGCACTCCAGACAATCTTAATGTGCAGCTAGGGTTGAGACCCACTGGTACAGTGGGATGTTACAATATTGTTTCCCTCCTATCTGCCTACCCCCTTTTGGGTATACATTAAATTTTTTACCATCAGGATGTATTCACTGTAAAATTATTCATACCCCCATTATATTTATTATACAACATAATGAGGGCAGCACAACCATATAATAGTTCCTTACCTCTCAGTGACACTTCAACATTTATACTTTCACATAAACTATTTTATTTGATCTGTACAAAAGTCTGTGAAAGAGGCCAGGCTGTGATTATCGCTTCCACTTAGAGATGAGGGGATAACACCATAGAGGGTAGGTACTCACCCAAAGTCACATCTGACTTCCTCAGTGCTTTTCGTTTCTTCTTTGGAATGCTTCTGTCTCAAGTTCACCTGCCAGAGTGGGTCAAAATTAGAAGGAAAAAAGAGTAAACTGAAGTCTCAAGTTCCAATAGTGTTGCATTAAGTGTACAGGAGCACAAAGATGAGATGGGGAAGTAGAGGGAAAGAGGGATGCAGTACGTTAGGGGAAGCAGAATTTCTCTCTCCACTTCTAGGGACCCTTTCTGCCTGCCCTCTTACATCACTCCCTGTATTCACACACAAATCTCTGCTTTCTCACCATTCTTGTTCAAACATCAGTGTGTATCTAAAATTCTTCCATCGTTCTTGGCTTACAACCTTGAGGTGATAGAATTTAAGTTTTGCAAGAATCCACCTAGCTTGACTTTGTGCTACTCTCCACTCATGTTAAGCTCTTAGAAATCCATGAAACCTATGATATTATATTCAAAATGATGTGTGAGATGGTCCAAAGCTTTTATTGATTCTCAAAGGGTCCTTCACCCAAATGAAAGGTTAAGAATCATTCTACTGAGAAGCGTTTCTAAAAGTAGTACAAGCTGAAGACCACAGAATTATTTAGGTCATTTCTTTAAGGCAGATTTCTAGGTCCTATCTCTGGAGAAGAGGTTAAGTCTTATTAACTGCAAATAATCAGATATAACTCCAGACAGATAATAAGAACTTCAAATCATAGACTAATAAGTGTGATGCATGTTTAAGTTCCTGTTTTCAGTCCAGAGTAATTTTATCTTTAAAAGATGTAGCAATCTATTGCACTAGTATCCCCAAGTCAGCTTTGCATTTCAGCACTTGTAATATTTGGTAATTACATATTTTTGTGCATCATTATCAACGTCTACCATGACCTCCAGCAGACCGAATATCTCTCTTCAAACCTAGTCTTTCCACAAATTAAGCGGAACTATCATTTTCAGCAACACCACCATCTAGTGGCAAGTGCAGTAATTCTGGCTCAGTTTTACAGCACACATGTAACTCCAATGGTTCTAAACTTGTTTCTCCAGCTGCCCAGAACTGTTCCCCCGCCCCCCCAAAAAAAAAAGAAAAAGAAAGAGTAATGGCAGCCTTTTCTAAGTTGTCATACAAAAAAGACCTGCCAAAAGACAGTATATGAATTTGATCAACTTTATCTTTTAAACCACAATCTTTAATCCTTTGGCTCCTACTGCTTGGTATTTTCTACTAGAAATCAACAACAAATGGACGGACATAGAAACATCTTTTCAAGGTCGTTAGGCTTTTCAATCTGTGAACTCATATGCTTTTGAATATTTTATATTGCTGATAACATGTTAACAGGTAAAAAGATAAAAGATTAAAAAATTTCTCCCAGAGTAAAAAGTACAGAGAAACTTGCTATAGGTGAGACAACACTACAAGTGGGTAAAAGATAGGCTATCATTGAAAGGACAACTGGTCATTACATGGGATTAAAAATAATTCTTGTTAGCTCTTAGCTTCTCAGAACTGTCCAGAAACGACAATAATCCTCTCAATGTACATGGCATGTTGACTCTTATAATTTCATTCTCACTTCAGTTCTGGTAAGGTGTGGAGCACAAGAAACAGTCCCCACTCCTTAACCTTAGCACATAGTAAGGCTCCTTTATAACATCCACCACAATTGAAGTAAGATTTATTTGGGGTTCATTACTGACAAAGCATATAGAAAAAGTGGAGCATAAAAAGGATAATCACATGTGTTTTTCCCCTCACCCAAGAAGAATTTCTTTCTCTCTTTTTTTTTTTTTTTTTAAGAGACGGGGTCTCACTCCGACACCCAGGCTGGAGTGCAGTGGCGCGATCACGGTTCACTGCAGCCTCGAACTCCTGGGCTTAAGCGATCCTCCTGCCTCAGTCTCCTGGGTAGCTGGAACCACAGGTGCCCGGGAATTCTTAACATTGCTTAACGTCCAGTCCTTCCGCTCTGTGATAATTACATATACACATCCTTTAAAAATTAGGGTCATACTGGATGTGTAGGTTGCTTAATAATGTTTCGAGAAAGACATAGTTGCGCGTAGTTCTTCATCGATGTGTGCTCCCTCTCAGAAAGCGCGGGAACCGGAGCCGCAACCTGGAAGGGCCGGCAACCGCAGCAGCTTTGCGTAAGATAAACGATATCGTGGTCCCGAAGGGAAACACGCCTAGGACACAGGTTCAACGGTTCATGTAGACCTCCCAGCAACCCGCAGCGCCACGCTGCGCGGGCGCACTCTCCTGGGCTGGCGGAACCCCGCCGGCGAGGCTACTACGCTTGCGTCAGCCATGAAAAGCGGAAGCGGAAGACTGGACGCCTCGCTGGGCACCTCAGCAACCAGTAGCCATGCGCGGCTTGGAGAAGCCAGGGCCTCGGCCTACAGCGAACTTGTGCGGCTGCGTGAAGCCGGCTCTGGAGACAGGTAACTTCCAAGAGACTGGCGGTGCCGTACTCTAGAGAGGCTTACCTCCAGGCAGCTCACTTCATTGCCGAGAGGGGCGTGAAATGCAAAATCTAGAACTGACGTGCGTCATTCTCATACTTACGGCGAAGGCATAGGTCACGTGCTGCTGCGATCACGTGATGTGCCTAGGCGCGCGGGATGACGTCATCCGGCTTGTTCCGCTTTGGTACAAGATTTATCTGCTTAGTCTTGGCTCAGCCGGTTGAAGCGTAGCAGTCTTTCCCTTAGGGGGTTCTCCGTGCCATAGGGAATGGGAAGTGGTGTTAGGCGCGTTAGAAATTAGTAAATGCCGTAGAAGAGAGGCATCCTGCCCTGTAAGAATGAGGAGAGAGAAGGGGGAAAGTTTGGGGGGGGAGAAAATAGTTTTAAATTGGGCCTAGAATTTGTTTCTCTTTACTCACACGTCTTCGTGGAGGAATATATTAGCTTTAGAAACTAGAAAGCAGTGTCAGAAAACTAAAATAGCCTGCCAGAGAAAGCCATTGTCAATATCTTGGTGTCTACCTTCCATTCTTGTTTCTTTGCATGCACACTTGGAAAGTGAGGTACTATGCGACCCCACTGTTTAGTAACTCTAAAAGAATTTTAAAAATATCTTAACGGGGCAATTCATGTTAATTTTAACGCTTTGTTTTATTATTATTAACTTTTATAGAGGCAAGCTATTTTATTATTAATTTTTGTAGAGGCAAGCTCTCACCATGTTGCCCAGGCTGGTCTCAAACTCTTGGGCTTAAGCAGTCCCCCTGCCTCAGCCTCCCTAAGTTTTGGGATTACAGGCATGAGCCTCTGCAACTGGCCTAACGCTTTGTTTTAGAGATGTGCTCTGATTTATGTAACCAGCTTCTTGTTACTGAGCATTTAGGTTATTGCCAGTTTGCATTATTCTAAAAGAAAGCTCTTTAAGCCGAAATCTTTGTGTACATTCTAAAGTTTGAACTTTGTTAAATTTCCAGGCAGTGCTATTACCTGGTGAAATGTGCTCAAAAAAAAAACAAATTGTTGTACACTGCCAGATTACAAGTCTAATATTTTGACAGGAAGGAAAACGCAGAAGCCAGGGCTCAGAAGTCCACAGTATAGGTTTAGGGAGCTAGAAAATCTAAAGTTTTGAATAGAACAGGGAGGTGGGAACCTTGATGACCAGGCTAAGAAATACAAAGTCTGGTAACATGGAACATGTAGAGTTTGAAGAGTTAGCGTCACACAAGAAACTCTAGGAGTATTTTGAGAAGAGAAAGAACTTGCAGTGGGGAGAGAAAGCATAACAAGGGCAACTTAATAGTCCAGGCAGAAATTTTTAGAGCAAGACGTGTAGACAAGCCTTGTATACAAAACCCCTTACATTGATCACTTGCTGTCTTTTTACTTATTACCGTTAACACAGTTGTAATGTTTAGAAGAGGAAAAAGCCTGAGCAGGGACTTTAAAAAGCACTTCTTGATGGGTGCCTTCATTTTACTGGATGCTTACATATTTTATTAGTACTCTTACAGCTTTCCAAAGTAGATATTATTATCCTTGTTTTAGAGATGAGAAAACGGATTCAGAGAGATAAGCTGGCTTTGCCGATGGTCACGCAGCTAGTGTAGTGGCCCTGTGTTGTTTTATCCTTTCTCTAGTCTGAAACTGGTCCTAATTCTCCCTTGCTCCTTTGAGGAACCACTTCTCCCCATTTCCATGAGGTTCTTGTGCTCATATTTGGCATACCTGTGCTTGTCTTCATCCCTGCAAAGGCACCTAGCTAGGATGGTTGATTTACTTGTCCTCTGTCAGTGTACTGGAAACCCTTGAGGATGAGAACCGGTTCTTATTTGTACCCCAGGCCCTTAGCACAGTGCTTACCAAATGATAGGTGTTTACTGTTCCTTTGGTTTTTGTTGTTGTTTTGAGATAGTCAAGGGGACGAAGACCAGAATTCCCCCGGGCAAATGGTCTCAGTTCTCTGCTTCAAATAGCATTTATGTTTCATACCATTATCCCCAGGAGGGCACAGAGAATATATAAATATGTCCCAGAAGAGTTCACACATACTAAGATATGGATATTTGATATTTTGAAAGTGGTCCCAAACGTTTTAGAGTAGCAGAGTTCGAGGAACTCTTACAAAGTAGCTCTTGAGTATACTTTGAGTTCGTTGCTAATGCAGTTCATTGTCTTGCTTGTGTTCTTAAGGAGATGCACAAAGAGGATAGAAATAAATCTAATTGGCAGCCACTTATATTTGTTATATATGTGTAATCTGTGAAAAACAGGCATAGACTGATTCAGTGGAATGATAAATCAGCTATAATATAAATTCCTAGGTCCCAAATCAAAGAGTCAAGGGCGTCTTTGATCATGTTACTGCTGACAGGACATTTCCCATGACATTGAAGCATGGCGTGAGATTCTCCCCAACCATTAATTCCACTGTAGTAAGAGTTCTTGGTTTGTATCTTTTCTCTAAACTTAGCACAATGTCTGGCAATTGTAGACACTTGGAAAATAGTATTTCTTTTTTCTCTTTTCTTATACTGCTCTTTGTGGAGCAGGGCAAACTCATAGGCAGTGTACCCAGAGTACCAGCCAGAAAATGTTTCTTGAACAAGTGAAAACAAGACAGGGATTCTGTGGTTAGGTTAGCAGTCTTTTTTGGACATTTATCTTCCAGTCATATAGAAGATACACTAGGTCATTTGGCTTCAGTTTTTTCTTTTTTCTTTTTTTTTTTTTTTGAGACGGAGTTTCGCTCTTGTTACCCAGGCTGGAGTGCAATGGCGCGATCTCGGCTCACCGCAACCTCCGCCTCCTGGGTTCAGGCAATTCTCCTGCCTCAGCCTCCTTGAGTAGCTGGGATTACAGGCACGCGCCACCATGCCCAGCTAATTTTTGTATTTTTAGTAGAGACGGGGTTTCACCATGTTGAACAGGATGGTCTCGATCTCTTGACCTCATGATCCACCCGCCTCGGCCCCCCAAAGTGCTGGGATTACAGGCATGAGCCACCGCGCCCGGCCCAGTGTTTTCATTTTTAAGATATTTACTGTATCTCTTCCATAGAAGCATGGATGAGAATCAAAAAGAAAAAAAAATGCCTGTAAACATACTTCAACAAAAATTAAAGTTGTGAAAAAAATACAGAGTATGCATGGATCTTAGACTCATCATATTGAGAGAGAAAAAGCAAGTCTGAGAAGACAACAGTTTGATACCTATTTTTATAGATCATAAGACAAAAATCAATGAAATGCGGTTTAGGCATGCATGTACATGTAATAAAATCATATTTAAAAAGGAAGTGAATGATGAAGACCAAATTCAGGCTTATGTTTATCTCAGAGGGAAAAGAAGGGTGTGAGATAAAACCTAAAAAGACACAAGTTGGGCTGGGCGTGGTGGCTCATGCCAGTAATCCCAGCACTTTGGGAGGCTGAGGAGGGCGGATCACGAGGTCAGGAATTCAAGATCAGCCTGACTAACATGGTGAAACCCCATCTCTACAAAAAATACAAAAATTAGCTGGACTTGGCACATCCCTGTAATCCCAGGTACTCAGGAGGCTGAGGCAGGAGAGTCACCTGAACCCAGGAGGCAGAGTTTGTGGTGACCAAGATCGTGCCACTGCACTCCAGCCTGGGAAACAGAGCAAGACTCCATCTCAAAAAAAAAAAAAAAGACACAAGTTGTTGGTAATGCTCTAGTTGTTGGGGTGGGTGGTGGGTGCATGTGGTTTCATTATAATATGCTGTATAACTTGTATGTTGCATATAATATTTATGTGTGTCAAATAATATAGCTTCTAGAAATAAAAAGTAATGAAAGAATACTTGAGGGACAGCCCCAGACCTATAGTCTTACTGCTTATGCTGGTAGGGTAGATTTAAAGAATCAGGAAATAAAATAAAAGTCTGAAATGTCTTTATATTATCTCTCAGAATTGATAATGCTCTCATGAAATGTGAAAATAAAAAAGTTATCTATAAATTCAAAGTGGTAGTCATGGAGACCTTAGACTTTAAATTTATATTGATGGCCTTTTATTTTTCTTTTGAAATATGTTATTGCTTTTAAAAAATTGTGTGTGTGTGTGTGTGTGTGTTTTGTATGTTTTTTTGAGTTGGAGTCTTGTTCACCAGGCTGGAGTGCAGTGGCATGATCTCTGCTCACTGCAACCTCCACCTCCCAGGGTCAGGCGATTCTCTTACTTCAGTTTCCTGAGTAGCTGGGACTCCAGGTGTGCGCCACTAGGCCTGGCTAAGTTTTTTAAAATTTTTTTACTTTTAGTAGACATGGGGTTTCACCATGTTAGCCAGGCTGGTCTTGAACTCCTGACCTCAGGTGACCTGCCACCTTAGCTTCCCAAAGTGCTGAGATTACAGGCGTGAGCCACTGTGCCTGGCCTAATGTTTGTGTGTGTGTGTGTGTGTGTGTGTGTGTGTGTGTGTGTGTTTATTTATTTTTTAAAGACGGGGTTTCACCATGTTGGTCAGGCTGGTCTTGAACTCCCGACCTCAGGTGATCCACCCACCTTGACTTCCAAAGTGCTTGGATTACAGACGTGAGCCACCATGCCTGGCCTAATTTGTGGTTATTGAAAAAATTTCAAATATAGAAATTACAAAGTTAATATAAAGGTAATTTAAAAATCTCACTACCCAGATTAACAACTATTTAAAAAAATTGGTGAATATTGGCCTGGTGCCGTGGCTTACACTTGTAATACCAGTACTTTGGGATGCCAAGGTAAGCAGATTGCTTGAGGTCAGGAGTTTGAGACCAGCCTGGCCAACAAGGTGAAACCCCTTCTATGCAAAAAATTAGCCGGGCGTGGTGGCGCACACCTATAAATCCCAGCTACTTGGAGACTGAGGCACAAGAGTTGCTTCAGCCTGGGAGGCAGAGATTACGTTGAGCCAAGATCGTATGCCACTGTACTCCAGTGTGGGCAACAGAGTGAGACTCTGTCCCAAAAAAGAAAAAAAAACTGATATGTATCTTTCCAGGTAGCTTTCCAGACATAGCTGTACATGTTTAAGTAGGTAAATATATAACAAATTCCCATAAGTGGGATTATGTTATACATATTATTTTACTTTTTTGATTTCCATATTAATTTGTTTAGACTGACATAATCTTTTCTTCCATGCACCATGAATTTTTTGAGTACCTACTCCCTTGCAGGCATTATACTAGACATTGAGAATGCAGCAATGAACAAGACAAAAAACTCCTGCCCACATGGAGCTTACATTCTAGAGGGGCAGCAGGCTACTGGACCAAGGCTAACTTGAAATCTACCCTGCCTCTAGATATTATAAGCTCCCTTTATTTCTTAAATTAGTTTGTTTCATATGTTCTGTTGCTTTCAATTGAAGAGTTCCTTACTTATGTACAACCAGTGTTTCCTCATTTACTATTCTCTGCCTTTTTTGTTGTTGTTGTTAATTTTTTCACACTCTAGAGGATTCTAGAGTGGGACCATTCTCTGCCTTTTATTTAATATTCCGGCCAATCAAAATAGCTTGTTCCCTGCGTATACTATGACATTTCTCATTTGCTTTTGTATACACTGTCTCCTCTATTAGAAATACCCTCATAGCTCTGGCCAGAGTCACATAACTTAGTTTTGGTAGCATAGAATTTTAATTGTGGTCATAGTATGTATTATGAAAATGGCCCCTTCCTTTTATTCTTTCTTTCTTGGACTGTTATTCTTTCTAGTATATCTAAAGGTATATTACTATGTGCGTATGATGTATGTGTATGTGATGATGAGAATACTTAAATGTTTTCATGAATACTATAAAAATCATTTTTATAGTTGTACAACACCAAGATTTTAAAACTATGAAACCAATGCATTAGAGAAAACATGTCTTACAATTTGGTTTTTTTTTACAATTTACAATTGTAATTTACAATTGTAATTTACAATTACAAAATGTAGACATTTTGACTAATAATTTCTTATCTAATTTTCTCCCATAGGGAATATTTTAACTGAGCCAATTGGCTACTTGGAATCCTGTTTCTCAGCCAAGAATGGTACTCCAAGACAGCCATCCATTTGTAGCTATTCTCGAGCCTGTTTGAGGATTAGAAAGAGCATCTTTAATAATCCTGAACATTCCCTGATGGGCCTAGAACAGTTTTCTCATGTTTGGTAAGTTATTTTATAGTTAGATATAGGACTTGGGGCCAGAACTTGCCCCTGAATAAAGTACTCCAGTTAAAGGCAAGCTTGGAATCTGCCATCCAGACCACCCTCATCTTTTTGTTTTGTTTTGTTTTTGAGACGAGTCTCACTCTGTCACCCAGGTTGGAGTGCAATATCAGCGCACTGCAACCTTTGCCTCCCAGCCTCGAGGTATCCTCCCACCTCAGCTTCCCGAGTAGCTGGGACCACAGGTATATGCCACCATGCCTGGCTAATTCTTTTTTGTATTTTTGGTAGAGATGGGATTTTACCATGTTGCCCAGGCTGGAATCTTCGTCTTTTGCATGGAATTTTTTTTTTTTCTTTTGACAGGTGCAATAGTGAGAAGGGAAGAACAGAAAGTTCAATCTGTAGCTTACCATGAACAATCAGTTGAGATAACTCACTGCCTTCAGACCAGCCTGTTCTATGGAATTTTGTCCTGTATTTTTGTATATGATTGTCTGTGTTATTTAGACATCCTCAGGGAAGCTTGGGATCCACTGAGGTGGCATGTTCTGTTTGAAGTTGGTTCTAATTGTGATGAACACCTGCTGAGTGAGATTGATAGACCTCCTTGATTCTGCCCCTGGGTCATTATTCTATCCTCTAGACCAGGGATCAGTAAACTAGCCCATTTTTGTAAGTTAGTTTTATGGGAACACAGTCACGCCCATTTGTTTCTGTATTGTTTGTGGCTGCTTTTGTGCTGCAGCAGTGGAGTTGAATAGTCTCCCCAGTGACTGGTTGGCCTGCAAATCCTAAAATACTACTCTCTGACTTTTTACAGAAAAAATGTGCAGATCCTCCTCTAGACTCACACAGAATTAAGTCTACTCCTGAAAGACAAGACACTGTAGAAATCTAGATGCCTTATGTGTTACCTATATTAGGGCCTGTGTTATACTAGCATTATTTGTGTCATTTCAAATTCTGTCTGTGTTCATTATTCTTCACCTCAACATCAGCAGTCTACCTCAGTCTATTTTTTTGGGTAGAGAACTGAAAATTAAGTATTTATTCTGAAATAGTTTATTTTTCATGTTAGTTTGGGGCAAGAGTATATTAGAAAGAAAATGTGTGTTCTCACCTAGTTTGTATTATGATCCTGATTGAATAAGTTAAAAACATCGATGGTGGAAAAAATGGGTTCAGAAGTATATAAACAGATTTATCCTTATCACTCCCATTTTTTCCCCCTCTCCCAACCCCAATCACTCATCAGAGATTATTACTGTTAACGGCATGGTGTAGATCCTGCCAGACCTTTTAATGTTTTCTTTTTTGAATATACATAGAAACAAATATATACCTACAGAGTAGGTATTTATTTTTTAAAAAAGTGTACTTCACTTAGGCTATACCATGGAGAGCTTTCATGGCAGTAGATTTACCTTTTTTTTTTTTTTTTTTGCTTTATTAGCTGTCTATTATTACAAAATATAGATGTACCATGCACACTCTTGTTAATGGAGGGCTATGTTGTTATTATGATAATACCGTGACAGACCTTCCCTTAGACACATTTTTGGCCACTTGTGCATTTTTATGGACAGGATATCAGAAGTGGATATGCTGGGCTAGAAGATAAGCATATTTAGAATTTTGGAGAACTACTTCAAAATTATCCTCTAAAATTAACCAATGTATACTTCAATAATATATTCAAATGACCTTTTTACTGCACCCTTCTCAACACAATATGTTAGCAGTTTTTTACGTTTTTGCCTGACGGTGAAAAAGAGTATTTTTGTTTTTTAGTTTAATTTCTAAATTTAGAAATTTCTAAGTATTGGTGAAGCTCAACAGATTTTCTTATGGTGCTTAGCTACTTGCCATTTTTTTTTTGTGAATTACCTATTCATATATTTGTGTTCTTTGCATAGTATCCTATTAGTAATTTGTAGGAACAATTTATGTACCACAGATATTAACCCATTGTCCATTATGTATGTAGCAAACGTTTTCTCTTAGGCTGACATTTTGTAGTACATAAATGTAATGGTTTCATGAGTTCAAATCTGTTAGTCTTTCTTCATGGCTTCTTGGTTTTGTATATTATTTAGAAAGGTCTGGTAATGCCAAACGAAAAAAAAAAGGAAGGTCTGATCAAGTTATTTAACATTTCCGAACTTCAATTTCCTCATCCCAAAAATGGGGGATAAATTATATTACTTAAGATTGTTAAAAAGATTGAATGAAACAAGTGTAAAAATGTTTTACCATACTACCTGGCAAACAGCAGACACTTAGTAAATTTAGTTTATTGGGTACTTGACAAAGATCTCTTAAGTTCCTATTGTGTGCCAGTTGTTGTGTTAGGTGCAAAGAATGTAGAGATGAGATTCTGCCTTCCTTTAGGGAAGGGGGATGGTGTTATTTTCTTCCTACCAGATTATAATTTAATACTATTTAAAAGATGATTTCTGTTAATTTGTGGGAGATTGCATTTTTTTCCCCATCAGATCATCGTGATAAAATAACTTGTGCTCTTTTCTTATTCCATGGTTTGGTTTGTTTTCAATAGGATTTTGTTTGTTTTTCACAAGAATGGTCATTTGAGCTGTAAGGCAAAAGTGCAGCCGCCTAGGCTGAACGGTGCGAAGACTGGAGTTTTTTCCACAAGGAGCCCTCATCGCCCCAATGCAATAGGATTGACTCTGGCCAAGCTGGAAAAGGTAGAAGGTAATCATTTCATTTCTACTTTTACCTTTTTCCTTACCCAGAAAAGTCTTATAAATAAACACAGCATTCACCACTGGCTGTTTTTTCAGACAAGTACCAATGATTTTAACTCCTGAGAACCACAAGACATTGAAGAAAATACGGTGATTAAAAGAATGTTAGCATTGAAAAATGTTGAAATAAACTCTCATAGAATGCTTAGAGTTTGTTTATATTATTACATATATCCCAAACTAGTAAATTATTTAGAAATAACACAAAGATTTCATAATCATTAAATTAGTAACCAAAGTTTCTCTTGACTTGGAATGTAATAAATACAGAATGATTTAAAATAATTTTTCAGTTTAACACAGGAATAACTCATTGTACATGCACATATGAAAAACACATAGACTGGTGGTATATTATTCCTTCCTTGTAGTCGTGGGGAAATAGACATCATGGCTGCAGCGCAGATGTCAACTGTACAATGTGGCAGGAGTCTGGGATGTTCTTGTTCACTTCAAGAACAAACATTGGTCAGGTTATAGAAGTTTTAAACTAACTAGCTTTAACTGTGTGTTCATATATAATATAGTTACACATGTATGCAAAGCATTCCATTTTTGTTTTCTTTTCTTTTTTTTTTTTTTTTTTTTAGCATTCCATTTTTGAATCACTCTGACCTAATAGATGCATTTGTTAGGCAGAAGATGAAATGGCAGGTAAACTAGGAGTCAGGAGACCGTTTCAGGCTTCAGCCTACTGGTTGTGAAGTGGGCAAAGGAGAAGGACCTGCTTCCTCTGTGATTCAACAGGATATTTTGAGACTCTTGTAAGACAAAAGTTCTGAAACTGCTTTCCAGGCTATTGGGCACTAGATAGATGAGAGCAGTTATTTTGCTTGTTCTTTCCCATAACTTGAACTCCCTCACTGGATTGTACTCAACTAGGCCTTAGGTAGTTGTCCCAGAAAAATTCAGTACCTGATCCACCTTGAATTTTATCAATTTGTAATGGCTAACCAATTTGGGTAGCAAGTACTAGAATATTTTATGATTATTCATGTAACTCACACATATTTTCTAGCACTGAATATGTGCCAGGCAGGCATTGTCCTAGGTGCTGGAGCTATAGTGGTAAACAAATCAGATAAAAATAGAAATCCCTGCCCTCAAGAACTTAATGTTTCAATGGGGGATGTTAAGTCAGAAAGATTAAAAGGCAAACACAGTAGCACTGTAGACATTACTATATAAGCTTTATGGTAGCTAGTGTTTGTGCAGTGCTTTACAGTTAGTGTTCACATACCTTATCTCCCAGTGGCTCTGTGGCTTTGATAAAGTAGCAATCCCCATCTCATACATGAGGAAACTGGGGCTCTTTAATGTTAGAGAATCTGTCTAATAGCTTCCAGCCAGGTGGTTGTCTGACTCTAAATCTCTTGAACTCTTACTTACGCTACAGTGCCTTTCTTTTTCCTACAGATATTGTTAGGCATAATTCATCATCTAGCAAATCCAGAATCAGCTTTCCAGAGCTCCAGTCTCATTTATAATAAACATGTTTCAGAAATCAGGGTCCTGTATTAGTTACATTTTTCTTAAATGGAGACGGAATCAAATGTGACTACATGCAGGTTTTCTGTTCTCATTTGGCTTATTTTCTAAGAGTCAGGTTAGCAGATGACTATTTGTAGCAGGAACTGGACAGTGTCTGTCCAATGGGATGACTGGAGTCTTGTTTTTAGTATTGGTAATGCAGACTTATGTGCTACTTAATCGTTTGAGTCTTCATGGATGTATTAGATTTCTATTGTTATGTAACAAATTACCACAAAATCATCAGTTTAAACAACACACATTTATTATGTGTTTGAAACATTATTATGTACCTGTGGGTCAGAAGGACAGGCACAGCTTAACTCGGTCATCTGCTTAGGGTCTCACTAGATTGCAGTTAAGTTGTCAACTGAGATGAGTTCTTATCTGGAGGCTTGACCATGGAAGCATCTGCTTCAAGGGTACCCAGACTGTTGGCCACATTGATTTCCTTGCTATTGTAGGACTGGGGGCCTCAGATTTTTGCTTGTTGTTGGCTGGAGGCTGCCCTCAGCTCCTAAAGGCTGTTTGCAGTTTCTTGCTACATGGGCTGCCAGCATGCCTGCCTACTTCAGCAAACCCTCAAGGAGAGACCCTCGAGTCAGTCTTCCAGTCAGCAGCAGTGCTCATGAAAAGCATAGTCACTGGAGGGACATCACACCTCTTTTGCCATATTCTGTCGGTCAGAAGCCATTCACACTCAAGGGGAAGGATTATATAAGGGCATGAACTTCAGGAGTTAAGGGATCACAGGGCCACCTTTGGATCTGTTTGCCACAGTAGAAACCCTCATTGGTCCCACAGAGATATATTGAGGACTACTATGTCTCTGGAACAGAAGCACCAATGATACAAAGATTAGCTGTCCCCAGCCTGTGTTAAGGGGCCTGCCTGCTGTCTAGGGACAAAGACTCTAAGCAGGACACTGCCTGACCATGGGGAAAGGGCTGTAGCAGAGGTTTGTGCACAGGCTTTTCTATGGGGACTGTAGGAATGAATGCTTTTGTCTGAAGCAGCCAGAAAGGCTTTGTAAAAGATGTGTGCTTTGAGGGCCTCAAAGAGCAAATAGGCGTTTGATAGGTAGAGAAGAAGATGGGCTTCCAGGTAGAAAAAGGATGTGTGTTGGTACCAGGTCTGTGTGAGAGAATTGTGAGTAAGCGCAGTGAGGCATGAGCAGACAGTGTTAGAGGATTCTGGGGTATGATTGTATTCTCTAAGTGTTTGCACTGTTCTTCATTTTTCACATTTTTATGTCATAGGTGGAGCTATATACCTTTCTGGAATTGACATGATACATGGCACACCCATACTAGACATCAAGCCCTATATAGCTGAGTATGACTCACCACAAAATGTGATGGAGCCTTTAGCAGATTTTAATTTACAGAATAATCAACATAAACCAAAAACTGTGTCCCAGTCTGACGGCAAGACTGACAGCTGTGACCAGCGACAGCTCTCAGGGTGTGATGAGCCACAACCCTACCATGGCACTAAGGAGAAACCTAAATGTCCTGAAGACAGGACTTCAGAAGAAAACTGCCTGACACACAGTGACACAGCACAAAGTCAGCAGGCATTCCCTATGCACAGGGAGATCACAGCGGATTTTGGTTTGGAATCAAGAAGTGATCAGAGTTCCAGCGTGGCAGAAGAGCAAATTGGCCCATATTGCCTGGAGAAGAGCTTTTTAGAGGAAGGTACAGATAAGAAGCTAGAAAGAGTGGAAGGAGCAGCAGTCCTGCAAGGAAGCAGGGCGGAGACACAGCCCAGGGCTCCTCACTACCCTGCTGGAAGGGCTGATGGAGCTCCCCACAGCGTGGTTCCTGCCTGGGTGAGAGAGGCCCCTGTGGCCACTTTAGAAGTGCGGTTTACTCCTCATGCTGAGATGGACCTTGTGCAGCTCAGTTCACAAGGTGAGCCAGGTATCTTCAGTTTCTTCATTCTGAATGAGAGATGAATTTTTACTCTGAGATTTAGCCAAGTTTAGCATTTCTGAGGTCAGTTATATGGAGTGTTTTTCAGTATGACTGGTTTTTAGGAAACAGGTGTAAAATAATATTTTTGCAGCACCATCATATGATAACTTTTGTTGGACAACTGTGTGGTCAGCACATTTAGTTCCAGGCTGTCAGAACATTGGCAGAGGGTGACTGCTGCCTCACAATGTGGCCCATGACTTTCAGCCCCTTGTCTACTTGTTACAGTAGTTCTTAGAGTCTTCAAATATCATTCAGAAGCTAAATTGTGCTTGTTCTATACTTAAGTACATAAAGTTTTCTCATTTGTTTTGCTGTATGACTACAGAAATGTTACATTGTACTCTGACAGTCAGGTAGCCCATAGCTCAGCCTCTGGCACAGAGGACTCCAGGAGCACGGGAATTGCCCCAACAAAGTCCCACTGCTAGAGGCATATACTTTCTTGCAGAAGAGAGGCCACAGGGCTCTTATGTGGAGGCTGCTTACTTTAACACATGGTTCTTAATAAATGTTATCTGGTTTCCCTAGCCCACAGCAGATCCCAAGCAGCAGCCTAGAATGAAGGAAGAGGCTGTTAATATGTGGATACAGCAATACCAGTAAAAAGTAACTAGTTGCAGGCTGGGCCTGGTGGCTCACTCATGTAATCCCAGCACTTTGGGAGGCCGAGGTGGATGCATCACTTGAGGCCAAGAGTTCGAGACCAGCCTGGCCAATTTGAGGAAACCCTATCTCTATTAAAAATACAAAAAATTAGCCAGGTGTGGTGGCAGGAGCCTATAATCCCAGCTACTCAAGAGGCTGAGGCAGGAGAATCGCTTGAAGCTGGGTGGCAGAGGTTATAGTGAGCCAAGATGGTGCCACTGCACTCCAGCCTGGGTGACAGAGTGAGACTCCATCAAGAAGAAGCCAAGGTGATGTCAGATTGCAAAAAGCTGTTCTTTGTGTTACAACTCAGTAAAGAGCCAGTATAGCCGTATAAACAGGGAAGTTCATTTATTCATTCTACAGCTGTTTACTGAGCTTCACCTAGGTACCAGACATTGGACTAGGTTCTTGGAATACATCACTGAACAAAACAGATTTGAAAAACCTGTGTTCTCATGCAGCTTGCATTCTAATGAGGAGGAGAGAGACAAACTAAAGCATAATAAGCAATCATTATGCTTATTATTTGGTACAATAAGTTATTGTACCAAACATACTCAACATTATATAATATTAGAAAGTGATAAGAGTCTTGGAAAAATTTAAAAGAGAATACAGCGGGATTGGGGTGTTACTATTTTTATTTTTGAGACAGGGTCTCACTCTGTCACTGAGGCTGGAGTGCAGTGGCAAGAACATGGCTTACTGCAGCCTCTACCTCCTGGGCTCAAGCAATCCTCCCACCTCAGTCTTCTGAGTAGCTGGGACTGTAGGGGCGCACCACCACACCTGGCTAATATTTTGATTTTTTTTATAGAGACGGGGCCTCATTTTGTTGCCCAGGCTTGTCTTGAACTCTTGGGCTCAAGGGATCCTCTGTCTCTGCCCCACAAAGTGCAGGGATTACAGGTGTGAGCCACTGCACCTAGCCTGTTGCAATTTTAAATAGGTGGTCCCAGTGGTCCTCACTGAGAAGACACATATGAGCAAAGGTGAAAGAGGTGAAGACATGAGCCAACCTGTCCACTGAAAGGACATGCTAGCCTGAGGGACAGCCAGTGCATAGCCTCAAGGTGGAGGGTTCGTGGCACATTTGAGGTCACGTGGCCAGAGTGGACTGAGGAGGGCTGAGTGGAAGGATATGAGGTGAAAAAAGTACTAGAAAAGGGATGAGGTCACCTAAGAGTTTTATAAGCCATTGTAAGGACTTGAGTTTTGCTCTTGAGAGGAGTGAAAGGCAGAGGAACTTGATGTCTGTATCCCCAGAGAGCAGGAGACCATCTCTGGGTTCAGATCACTGCCTGGGTGATTTCTGGGTTATCACACTTCAATGACATGCACAGGCAAGCTAGAATTCCTTATTGAGACAATGAAGACTTTCATTCCATATCCAGAAAATAAAGGCTTACACAACACTAGGTTTTCCCCTGCTTTACAAGCAGGGAGAGAATGAAGAGGCTAGTGGGATATTTGGCTTTGATACTCCAACCTGAAGGAAGTTCTTCTGATGGGAAAAAGAAGTCTAAAAGTTGGTGCTAGAGACACATGACATCTGACTCTGAGATTTCCCCATTTTTTCCTGTCAGAGCCTCAGCCAGCCCATACTATTGCCTTTTGCAAAGGAAAAGCCACCCCTTCCTCTGGATGGAGGCAGCCACTTGCCAGGGCCCAAGCACTGGTTTTAGCCCCAACATGCCAACCTCAGCAGGGTGCCATATGCAGGGCACCCCCTGCACCTCTGGGTGCGGCAGTCTTATGGTCACAAGTGGCGATGTCACTTGAGGGTTGTGCTTCTCATTCGTTCTTAAGCCTTTACTTTATTTATTTATTTTATTATTATTTTTTGAGACAAAGTCTCCCTCTGTAGCCCAGGCTGGAGTGCAATGGTGCGATCTCAGCTCACTGCAACCTCTGCCTCCCGGGTTCAAGTGATTCTCCTGCCTCAGCTTCCCGAGTAGGTGGAACTACAGGCGTGTGCCACCACACCCAACTAATTTTTGTATTTTTAGTAGAAACAGGGTTTCACCGTGTTAGCCAGGATAGTCGCGATCTCCTGACCTCATGATCCACCCACCTTGGCCTCCCAAAGTGCTGGGATTACAAGCGTGAGCTACCACGCCTGCCTAAGGCTTTACTTTTAAACAAATCTTTGGATTTTAAAATTGATCTCTTTATTTTAAAAAGTTCTGTTAATAGAGATTATATCATCACTGTATACAGTTGATGGGAGGAGGATGATCGGTTGTAAAAGGATTTTGTGGTGGAACAAAACAGTCCTGCCTCCTAGACACTTTATGTTTACACTTACCTCTTGTCCCATGGTTATTGTTGAATGCAACCTACTATGGAAGGTTCTGTTTTTCTAACTGCAGTGCAGTATGCGTCAGGTGTTTGAAATATGCCTTATTGATTTAAAAAATGGTTAAAATGAGAAATTAGGCAGTGTAACTACAAAACAGGAACTGATTGATCGCAAACAGCAAAATGCAGAGCCGTTGCAGAAATGAGAAATGACTTCAGGAAGTTCTGAGTCTAGAAGAGGGTAAAGGTGTTGAACTGAGAGGAAGTTTGGTGCTAGAGTAAAGGTCTGGGCAGAGTGCTCTGGGCATTCTGAGAGGAGAATCCTGACTTGGGTCGGGGAGGGTGTGTGGGACGAAACGGTGCTTGAGCTTTGCCTGGCAGGATGAGTAGGCAAGGAATTGGGGAAAGGCACCCATGCCCGATGAACAGCCAAACAGAGGCTGGAGCCTCTACCAGAAATGCCGTAACTGGAGAGTGTGATGAGCTCCTAATTTTTGAGTGGCCTTCGGAGCCATTTTGTATGAGCCATGCAGTAAAGGAAACTTATTGCGATATAATTGATTTTTTTGTTTGTTTGTTTGAGATAGAGTCTTGCTCTGTTGCCCAGGCTGGAGTGCAGTGGCGCGATCTTGGCTCACTGCAACCTCCGCCTCCCATGTTCAAGTGATTTTCCTGCCTCAACCTACTGAGTAGCTGGGATTGCAGGTGTGTGTTACCATGCCCAACTAATTTCTTTTTTTTTTTTTTGTATTTTTAGTAGAGACGGGGTTTCACCATGTTGGTCAGGTTGGTCTTGAACTCCTGACCTCATGATCTGCCTGCCTCAGCTTCCCAAAGCACTGGGATTACAGGTGTGAGCCACTGTGCCCAGCCCATATAATTGATTTTTGACTAAAAATTGTACTTCATGGCTTTATTTGCCCAACTTGCTTATTAGATATAGCCCATAGTGATTTTTGGCTGCTTATAGAAATCAAGTCCACTCCAAAGGGATAAATATCCACCACCACCACAGATGGTATTTTGAGTCGGGGCAGCATTTTTAAAGTCCATACCTTCCTGGAAGGGGCTGGCCTTCATCTGGATGTATGGGATGTTGAAAAACTAGGTTGCAGTTAGTTTTTAAATTTGTTTTATACATACTGTATTTTAAAAAATTAAAATACATTAAAAATCCTACAAACATAGGAAGTTTTGCTGCTCCTTAGGGACACGGATGTGAGACAGTCCCAAAACAAAGAGACGTTACTGGTAACTGTGAAGCTGTGACACCAGCTTTCTTGTGCAGCCTCTCTTGCCTGTAGCTGGTGTTCTGGGTGTGTGTGGGTTCTCTTTCTTGTGGCTTTCTGAGGATGCTGGGACTGTCATGAATTTCCTTGTCTCTGTTCTGAGAAGAAAATGACAAGGAATGAAAGTCTATATTGAGTATAGAAAAGTGACATTTTGGATGTCAGGAAAGTGTCATTTTGGTTGACGGAAGATGAAAGCTCACCTCTTCTAGTTAGGAGACTAAGGAAAAATGCTACCATGATTTTTCTGTTCAGTAGAACGAAAATTTGGGGGTGTACAAGTTAAGCCTAATGGCAATAAAGACCTCTTAAAGGTGACAGTCTCCATAATGATCAAATCGATTTCCAAACCCTGTCCATGTTAAGTGATTTTTAAGGAATCAACCAAATTCCATGCTGAAGTTTGTTGTGAAATTTGACCTGCATGATACTGCTCATTGTGTTCTTTTCATTGCAGATGTTGGTCAGGCATCATTTAAATATTTTCAGTCAGCCGGGGAAGCAAAGCGTGCCATTGAGGCTGTGCTGTCAGCGGACCCTCGGTCTGTGTACCGCCGGAAGCTTTGCCAGGACCGCCTTTTCTACTTTACTGTAGACATAGCGCATGTCACTTGCTGGTTTGGTGATGGTTTTGCAGAGGTTCTGAGAATCAAGCCGGCTTCTGAGCCTGTTTATATGACTGAGCCTGTGGGGTCCTTGGTGTCTCTAGGGTCTTAAGGAGCCTCTGTCATGTCTTTAAGATAGCATCATTTATCTTTGGTTGTGGCTTTTGGATTTTCCGAAGAAGCTAACGTACCGAGAAGCAACACTTTGTGATCTCGCTGCTTTCATTGATTTGGGCTGTTCAAAATGTTTATTTGAAAAATGCATACTTTAATAAACTAAGAGATAGAAAATACAGAGAAATCATTCTGAAGAAGCTAATGTACCGAGAAGCAACACTTTGTGATCTCACTGCTTTCATTGATTTGGGCTGTTCAAAATGTTTATTTGAAAAATGCATACTTTAATAAACTAAGAGATAGAAAATACAGAGAAATCACCGAATGCTTTTTGATCTGTTGATATTAAAGAATCCAAAGGTGATGCTGTCTTGAAAATTTCTGAAAGAAGCTTTTCTTGGTGTATTTGATAAAATTAGACAAAGGTCATTCCAGCAGAAACTTTGAAGTTGAGGGGATCTGTTCAACAATTCATATTGGTTTTCCTGTCTGTCTGGAAAAGCCTAACCTTTCTATTTTATTCCAAATCCGACCTATATCTTAGGAAACTAACAAATCAAAAACAAGCAGTTAAGAGATAGTTTTTGAGATTAAATTTCTGTATTTCAGAGACTTTGTGACATACACACATATGTATATGTATGCATATTTAATACCGATTCTAAAATAGAGACTCTCTGAGATTTCTTTGGCTGTCTTTGTATCAGAAAGGGAAACCACCCCCAGAAGTTCAAGAAAATAATTACTGTTTTTTAATATACTCACTCTGTGACTATTTATTGAGAACCTACTATGGACTAGGTTTTGGTGATAAAATGAGATGAACAAGGTGTTCTTGTTGCAAGTCATGGTTAGTGGAATAAGTAAGACATAAACAAATTACTGTATTACAGTGTGAGAAATACAGTATTACAGTGTGAGAAATACAGTAATTATATGTGGTTCCTCTGTAGTACCACATAGGAAGCAGTTGTAAGAATGTATTGCCTATAGGTGATTTTAATGATGTGATCCCAGATAACTGAGGATTTATGATCAACATAACCAAATTAGACACCTGTCAACACGATACATACTTTCCTAATCATGATTGTAAATCTTAATAGCTGATTGAAATGAGCTGATTGGAATAGTCTTGAATAGTTTTGAAATGAGCCCTACTGCCTGTGGATACTTGTGCAGAGTCATTTATGGCTGATGACACTGTACTCCTAAACCAAATTGGTTTGTAGTTGCCTTTAATGTTACTTAGAACTCCTTGGGGAAGTATCTTTAATTTGATTTTTGATTTTTTTTTTTAAAAGATGAGGTTCTCTTGTGCCCAGACGAATGCAGTGGCCTGATCATAGCTCACTGCAACCTTAACCTCCCAGGCTCAAGGAATCCTCCCACCTCAGCCTCCTGAGTAGCAGAGTCTACAGGCTCATGCCATCAGCCTCACTATTTTTAAAATTTTTTGTAGAGACAAGGGTCTTGCCTTGTTACCCAGGCTGGTCTTGAACTCCTGGCATCAAGCAACCCTCCCTCCCCAGCCTCCCAAAGTGCTGCAATTACAGGCATGAGCCACTGTGCCTGGGCTAATTTGATTTTTTTTTAAAGCTTTTGATTTTGAAATCATCATAAGTTCATGGGAAATTGCAGAAATAATAGAGGTCCCATTTACTCTTCACCCAGCTTTTCATTTAACTTCTTCCAGTGGTTCCATCTTACATAACTATAGTAAACGCTAAAGATAGGAAGTTGACACTGGTACAGCCTATACTTTAGTTTGATTTTGTTCTTTTTTCTTTTGAAAAGTCGTTTTGAAGCTAAATCAGGGTTTGAAGCACAAAATGTTGTTTAATATGTTAACAATGACTCTCGGGGATGGTAACCAACCACCAGCCTGATAACAAGAGGACTATTAAGTTGTTTGGGGTTTTATTATACAGTCTCAGGATTTTAGAGCTAAGAAGGATTTTAGGCCAGGTGTGGTGGCTCATGCCTGTAATCAGCACTTTGGGAGGCCGAGGCACGTGGATCATTTGAGGTCAGGAGTTCGTGATCAGCCTGGACAACATGGTGAAACCCTGCCTCTATTTAAAAAACAAAAATCAGCTGGATGGTAATGGCGTGCACCTGTAATCCCTACTCTGGAGGCTGAGGCAGGAGAATTGCTTGAACCTGGGAGGCAGAGGTTGCAGTGAGCTGAGATCGTGCCACAGCACTTCAATCTGGGTGACAGAGTGAGACCTTGTCTCAAAAAAATAGAAAGGGTGTTAAATATAATCTGGCTCAGTCTTCTTCCAGTTCCTGAGTCTCTTCAATGTTGCCAGTATTTGGCCTCTCCAGGCCCTGCCCGAACACCCTCAGAGATGAGGTATTCACCCCTGACCTGTGCAGCTTATTCTTTGTGGGCAATGCTCATTATTAAAATGTTCTTTCTGAACGTGAGCTCCACTCTGTCTGACAACTCTGCCCACTAGTGATGCCACGCGGTGAGGCTGGTTGACCTTCCAGGTTAACCTGTCAGGCCTTCCCTAGGCTGAGCACCCTCATTTTCTTCCGCTGTTTCTTATAACGTGATCTGAAGCCTCTTCCAACTCCTAGTCCTTCTTGAGTCCGCATATGAGCATTTGTCTCTGTGGGTGCAAATTTAAGTGTCCTTTATGAGGAAATGTACATCTCTAGTTGGTGAACTTCCATCCCTTAGAGAGAGAAATAGAAGCAAAGATTTAAAACAAGCTGTTTCTTTATGTCTTGGAAACTTTTAATTTATCCATCCAAGCTTTTTTTTTCTTTTAAAGCCTTTGAGAGCAGGCCACCATCCAAGCTTATTTCCACTAACCTAGAGAATTAAATATATCTGATTTGTAGCACAAAATAAATAAAAGGTAAAAGTTCTCTCCAACCCTCCATCAAGTGGTTTAAAAACTGTCATTGATTTTATGTCTGGAATTGAAGTTGTTTTGGTGCATGCGTGCATACACACAGATACACACTAATCCTAAAAATGAGACGGAGATGAGCTGCAAGAAAACTCAAAAGTGCTGTAAGTATAACTCTCAAAAATAGTGTTACAGCTTTAGAGTCCTTTTGTGTTCTGTTTGTATCAAAAGCACATTTAGGAGGTTCTTTATAGGTGGGAGGGGAATACATCAAGAGGAAGAGGTTGCTTGATTCTTGGTCCCTTAGATTATGAAGACTCTCTGGCCAGAGTTTTGGAAAAGGGATTATGTCTACAAGTAAACTTATGGTTTCAGGACTGCCTTAGAATCTTTTTCAAAAGAAGAAAGGAAAGTTCTCTACTAGGCATTAATGGCACCCACCTTAATTTTTAGCCTTTGCCTTTTGGTTCCTGTAGGGGGAGCCCTTGATAGCAGGTTTTTCCGCCTTCGACACTGGCTTGGAGGAAAACTCCAGTTCAAGCTGTTTAGGTAATTTTGGCGTTTGGCCCACCTGCCCCAGCTTTGAAGAACAGTAACTTGTACAGGCAATGCTGACTGATGCTTGTCAGTCACATGTGAGAAGAGATTAGGAAGATGAGTGGCATGTATTTATTTTTTTTTTAAACTGTAAGCTTGGCTTCAGGGGTGGGATTGATTATGTGGATCTGTGCACAACCAGGTACGCTCGTTAGCTAAGCCCATGAACACACACGGACAAGGCACCGACTGTGCTTCTGTGTTTGTGACTTTTTTTCTTGGAAAGAAGAAAATGAAGTTGAATTGAATCCATCTCTTATTGGTAGGGTTTTTAAAATGCTACGGTCCCGGAGAAAGCAGGGGAAGACTCAATAAAAGTGAAAGTCTGCATCACTGAACTTTTACCATGTCCTTGTAACTGGGCTATGCACTTTTTGTACATTGGTTGGAGGTTAAGTAATGTGCTCAAACTGGTCAGCTGGTCGGCCGCACAGCTAGGATTCCAACTCACCAGCCTGGTGCAAGTCCGCTTTCTTCTCAGCCTGGCTCTACCGCCTTCCTCAGTACAGAAGTGGGTGCTTAGCACACCATGCTGGTTTATTGGAAGGTCAGCAGTTCCATATGCTTCAATACAGGACACTTTGTCAGAGTGAAGTCATGGAAATCCAACTACTCATGAAGAATGCACAGAGGAATAGAGACAGAAACACCCATTTCCACAGGATCTGCATGGACCCTCCTGGGAAGCAGGATGGGAAATGTGAACAGCACCGGGCTTGGCCTCGGAACTTCAAGCACTTGCTGCCCTGACATGGGCTAGGTCATGACCTCAGGCAAGCCGCTGCACCCTGCCTCCAGCTCTGTGACCTTACAGAGTTGTTGCAAGGATAATGCTTGGGAAAGTGTCTTCGGAACTCTTCAATAGCCTGTAAACCTAGGTAATATTTTATTGTGCTTCTCTTCCTTGATAGCCTTTCTCTACCACTCTGTTCTGGCTTACCTGGCTAGATAAGCCGAGTTCAAGAGGATCTAAGGGGCCTCTAAAATTCAATGTATGGATGGTTTGTTTTTGGTTTTGGTTTTGGTTTTTTGAGGCAGTCTTGCTCTCTGGCCCAGGCTGGAGTGAAGTAGTGCAATCATGGCTCACTGCAGCCCTGTCCTCCTGGGCTCAAGTGATCCTTCTCCTTCAGCCTCCTGAGTAACTGGAACCACAGGTGCTTGCCACCATGCCTGGCTATTTGTTTGTTTGTTTTTTGAGACAGCCTCTCTCTGTTGCTGAGGCGGGCATGCAGTGGTGCAGTCATGGTTCACTACAACTTCTGCCCCTGGGCTCAAACCATCTTCTGACCTCAGCCTCTCAAGTAGCTGGGACTACAGGCACACACCACCATGCCTGGCTAGTTTTTGTATTTTGGGTAGAGACAGGGTTTCACCATGTTGCCCAGGCCAGTCTTGAACTCCTGGCCTCAAATGGTCTGCCTGCTTTGGCCTCCCAAAGTGCTGGGATTACAGGCATGAGCCACTGTGCCCAACCTGTCTTTTTAATTATAGAAATTTTTTTAAGGTTGGGCTTGAGAGGCGAAGGTGGGAGGATTGTTTGAGCTAAGGAGATGGAGGTTGCAGTGAGCTGAGTTTGTGCTACTGCACTCCAGGCTGGGTGACAGAGCCAAACTCTGTCTCAGGAAAAAAAAAAAAAAAAAAAAAAAAAAAAATTTAAAAGGACTATTTTTTTAAAGGACTGTTTTTATCAAGCAATATGATGTTTTGCTAAGGGAAATATCACAAAGTACTCCTCCCTGAAGGATTCAGTTATGCCACAAAACGTCTTACCCCTCTCAGCTGGGTTTCCTTTCTGGGGTTACATGTGGATACCATGAACCACCTTTACCGCCCAGGCAGGCAGTCACCAGCTCAGTGCCTTCCTTACAGGTTTTTTTTGTTTGTTTTTGTTTTTAGTGCCCTTTCTCTTCCACCTTCTTTCCTAATCCTAGCCCAGGTATTGCAGGAAAATCTCTGCATTTCATTTATAGAAAATAAAATTATAATTATGGCGTGAGGTTATTAAAGCAAGCCCTACCTTCCTGATGGAGAAGGGGCAGGTCATAAGTTTTAAAGCTCAATTAAATATATAATAGGGATGTTTATATTGTTAAGTTTCCTGGCTGGGCACAGCAGCTCATGCCTGCAGTCCTAGCACTTTGGGTGGCTGAGGGTGGGCAGATTGCTTGAGCCCAGGAGTTTGGGACCAGTGTGAGTAATGTGGCAAAAGCCCATCTCTTAAAAAAACAAAATTGGGGGGTATATAAGTATATATACAAATGTAAACACAAAATTTAAAAATTAATGGGGCATGGTAGCTCATGCCTGTGGTCCCAGCTACTCTGGGGGTCAAGAGCCTGAGGTGGGAGGATCACCTGAGCCCAGGAAGTCAAGGCTACAGTGAGCTGAGATCATCCCACAGCACTTCAGCCGGGGCGACAGAGAAAGACCCTATCTCAGACAAAAACAAAAAATTTAGTTACCTTATCTAGATAAGTCATAAAATGACTCTCTAGCATTTACCGTATTCTTATCCTTTCTGCCCTTTCTCTGCCTTTGTAGGTTCCAGCAGATGCAATTCACAGAATATTCAAGGTTAGGCCAGTGCACGTGGCTATGAACAGCAAACAAGAGCCTTTTCAATGCCTGCAGTGCAAAAACTCAGTGAGTTATTTTTCAGTGGAGGGGGGCACTTGGCATATGAACTCACACCACAAGAGTCACATTTAAGTTAATATGTGTTTACGTTGTGTTGACAAAAAGGGTAGGAAGCCAAGCGTGCTGGTGTGTGCCTGTAGTCCCAGCTACTCAGGAGGCTGAGGCAGGAGGATTGGTTGAGCCCAGGAGTTCAAGGCTGCAGTGAGCTATGATCATGCCACTGTCCTCCAGTCCAGGCAACAGAGCAAGACCCCATATCTAAAAAAATAAATAAATGCAAAATTTAAAAGTAGGATTGGATGTAATACAATGTTATCTTCTGTGTCTTAGATAGCTTGAAAATTCTGAGATTCTTCACTAATATATCTAATTCTTCATTCAATTCAAGATATATAAAACACTTAAATTCCATGTTAACTTTTGTTTTTAAAAGTTATCCACATGTTAAACACTGAACAACTACATAATAATTCTTCATATTAGTATAGACTTTACAGTTTACAATGCAGTTTAAAATATATTACCGTATTTGGTATCTCAGTAACATTATGGATTAATCGTGCTTCTGGGAGCTAAGCTGCGGGCCTAACCAGCATTTAGGAGAGGGGTCAGCAAATGATAGTCCAAAGGCCAAATCTGGCCCACAGCCTGTTTTGGCACTACCTGAGAGCTAAGATTGGTCTTTACATTTTTAAAGGATTGTAAACAAAATGAAACAAAAACAAAAAACCCAGAGAACTCGTGACAGAGACTGGTGGGCAAAGCCGAACATACCTACAATCTGGCCCTTTACAGAAAAACCCCTGACCCCGCTCCTTGATTTAGAACATTATTTCTCTGAAACTGGTTTTAAGTTCCATAAAAGTTATTTACAAGTTAAGTTTTTGGGGTATCACATGCTTCTAAGTCAGAGACTGTTTTTATTTTTAAAGGATTTATTTATGTAGCCATGTGAGAAAACGTATGACTAGGATATAAATGGCAGGTATTATAATATTTCATTCATATGTGTAAAATGAGGAGGTTATATAAACCCATGTTTGCACATTATTGGAAAATTTCTAGAAGGATAAACAAATATATGCCAACATGGTTACCTTGGGGCTGGTTCTCTGAGGACTCACTGCAGAGGGGACTTTTTGCTTTATTCTCTTTAGTACATTGTGAATTTTCTGTCTAATCACAAGCATGGTATTTTTATCTGTGGAACCTGAGGAAAGTAAAATGCCTAGAACTCAAACTGGAATGGACTGGATATGTTAGTGCAACTTAATAAATAAGTTAGGCTGGGCGCTGTGGCTCATGCCTGTAATCCCAGCACTTTGGGAGGCTGAGGCGGATGGATCACTTGAGGTCAGGAGTTTGAGACCAGCCCAGCCTACCTAATGAAACCCTATCTCTACTAAAAATACAAAATATAGCCAGGGTGGTGGCACACATCTGTAATCCCAGCTACTTAGAAAGCTGAGGCAGGAGAATTGCTTGAACCTGGGATGTGGAACTTGCAGTGAACTGAGATCGTGCACTGCACTCCAGCCTAGGCAACAGAGTGAGACTCCGTCTCAATCAGTCAATCAATTAGACATATATATTTAAGTAGATAACAATATATATCCTCCCACTCATCCATTTAGTAAATATGGTTAGAGACATTTTTACTTTTTCCTGGAGCATGACATAGGGATCACAATACCAAAAAGCACCCAAATCAAACACTGGCTGTGGAGCTGAGCCAATTTGGAACAGGCAAACTGGCTAAGCCTGGGCAGCCTTGTCCCAAGGGTGCACTGACGCTTTCTCTTCTTCCAGAGACAGGGTTATGGATAAGGCTTTGTGCCTCCAGGCAGAAGACAGGTGCCCATGTGGATGATATCGCTGGCAGGGCTGAGCCACCAGAGAGCTCCTTGGCCCAATGCTTGCCAAAACTGTGTGGTTCATTCAATCTGGAGTCTCTGCCGGCAGATCCAGTCACTCGTCAGCTCCACTCACTGGTCTGCTGTCTACTTGCATGTAGTGAGCTAGGCGATTTGAGTGGTAGGAGTTGCTCTGTCCAAGTACGTAGGGCTGACCTTGCTGCTGTCAGAATGGGCAGTCTGAGCTCAGTCACTTGAGGCAACAGAAAAGGAGAGGCTTAGAGTCCAAGATTGGTTGTGCCTTCCCTGGGTAAGGCAGCTGGTCAGGCTGGGATATTGGCAGGTGGTGGAGCAGAGCCTGTATTGGGGGTGCAGTAGGGGTGTCAACAGACTTAGGAGTTCAGGCTCTGTTGGGATTAGGGGAGGAGTTGAAATCTGAGAGAACTGGTAGAACCAAGGCAGGATCTGAGTCCAAGAGGGGATAGGCAGGTTATCCAGGGCACTCAGGGACCTCAAGGCAGCAACCTCCTCATCATACTGGAGCTGTAGATTTGTATTTCTTAGTTCTTTGCCTAACATCTGATCTTTGCCAAGATACAAGGTCACATGTGAAAATGCCTTCAAAAATATAGTAGGATGACATAAATAGTTAGTGCTTAAAACTAGTGGGGCAAAGGGAACCAAGTGATATTAAATGGGAGGCTGAGACGGGGGATGGCTTTGAAAACTGAATTGACTTTGGAACCTCTGCCCACAGAAGGTGATTCATAACTTGTGGTCTAAACCTAACTTGGAAGAATTGTTAAGTTAAAAAAAAAAATCCGTTAAAGTCTCCCAATATTGTGTGGAGTCTTTTGTAGAAAAAAAAATCAGTGTTCTCCAGAGGACTTTAATAGGCCCAGTATCTCACAGCATAATACAGGCATGTACTATACAACAATGTTTTAGTCCAAAATAGGCTGCATATACAACAATGGTCCCATGAGATCATAATATCTAGTTTTACTGTGTCTTTTCTCTGTTAAGATATGTTTAGGTACACAAATACCACTGTGTTACAGTTGCCTGCAGTATTCGGTATAGCAACATGCTGTACAGGTTTATAGCCTAGGAGCCATAAGATATACCATGTTGCCTGGGTTCGTAGTAGGCTATCGCATCTGGTTTTGTGTAAGTATACTCTGTGGTGTTTACACAATGACAAAAGTGTCTCTGATGATGTGTTTCTCAGAACGTATGTCTGTCATTAAATGACACGTGATTGTATTCAAAATGTCTAAGCTACAATCCAAAATCAACAAAGTACTAGGAAAATTTAAACTATTGTCAGGGGAAAAGACAACCAATAGATGTCAATCCTGAGATGACTCAGATGTTGGAATTATCAAAGACTTTAAAGCAGTTTTTACAGCTATCGTGTAAGAACTAAAAGTGAGCACTCTTGAAATGACTGGAAAGATGGAAGTTCTCAGGAGAGAAATAGAAACTACAAAAAAAGAACCCAGTGGAAATTTTGTAACTAAACACTACAATATCTAAAATAAAAATTCATTTTAATGGGTTTAGTATCAAAGTGGAATTGACAGAGAAAAGAGTTAGTGAGTCAGTGAACTTGCAATAGGTGAATTGAAATTATCCAATCTGAAGGACATAGAGGAAAAACATTTTAAAAATGAACAGAGCGTCAATAATTTATGGGACAATATTAACAGATCTAATATGCATGCCATTGTATTTCTGAAGGAGAGGAGAAAAAGATTGATTACAAAAATAAAAATTGATGAAATAATGGCTAAATACTCCCCAAGTTTGGTGAAAGATACATAGATTTAAGAAACACAGCAAGGCCAGGCACAGTGGCACATGCCTGTGACGCCAGTAGTTTGGAGGACGAGAGTGGTGGATCAGTTGAGCCCAGGAGTTCGAGACCCGTCTAGTCAACATAGGGAGATCTCAGTCTTTCAAAAAAAAAAAAAAGCCAGCCCTGATGGCATGTCTCAGCTACTTGAGGTGAGAGGATTGCCTGAGCCTGGGAGGTTGAGACTGCAGTAAGCCATGACTGTACTACTGCACCCCAGCCTGGGTGAAAGAGTAAGGCCCGCTCTCAAAAAGAAAAAAAAAAGAAACTCCACAAATCTGAAATAGGATAAATTCAAAGAAAACAATGTCCAGACACATCATTATTAATCTACTGGAAATGAAAGGTAATGAAAACTATTTTGAAAGCATCCAGAGAAAAATTACAAAACAGAAATTAATCGAATGATTTATTGTAGCAGAACTCAATGAAACTGAAAATAGAACAACAGAGACATACTAGTGAAACAAAAAGTTGGTTATTTAAAAGGATTAATAAAATTGATAAACTTCTAGCCAGATTGGCCTGGAAAAAAAAAAAAGAGAGAAGACAGATTACTAATATCAGGAATGAAAAAGATGACATTATTACAGACCTTACAGATATTAAAAAGATAATAAGGGAATACTACACACAACTCTATGTTCATAAATTTAATATCTTAGATGAAATGGACCAATTCCTTGAAAATCACAAACTATCAAAACTCCATAAGGGAATGGAGTGGCTAGGCGATTTGAGGCAAGGGGCACTTCAATGGGAAACCTGAGGCAGGCTTGGCAGTTTTACCTCCAATTTGAGGCTCAACTCATCTTTAAGGCTTCAACATTCCACATCTAGGGCACCAGCACTGTTGGTGACCAGGGTGGGGGGCATTTCTTGGTCACTGGAGCCCCTTGATCACTCAGATGGCCATTTCATTTCTAGACATCTCCTGGCTCACTGGCTTTCAGGATATCTTCTGGGTGTAGCTTAGGAGTTGGAGTCTCCTTGACATCTTTGACTCTTGAAGGAATCCCTAAATCTCCAACATCCTTTTCCTAAAGTGAAAACGCCGAGAATATGCTCTCCCCTGTGCTGAGCCTCTTCAGACCCTCTACCCTCTGTCCTATGCTTCTGGGTACTGCTTCTCTGTGGCCAGAATCTGTGGGGACGTAACTCCACTCTCATCCATTGGGTGTATCCCTCCATTGTCTGACTTAAAGTGACTTTGGACTATCGCTCTTGTCCCCCTTACACTCTCACTGTGACACGATCTGTCCATAAAGACGGTAAGAGAGTCTTAAAAGTTTGCCTGCTTTTCTTCTTGGACTCAGGGTCCTCTGTGACCAAAACCTGGGGGCCTTCTGGACTTCCTGCTTATAGCTGAGGGAGCAGGGACAGACTCTGGGGTGAGAACTGAATTTTT